ATACAGCATCTGGGGTCTTACAGGCTTGAAGACAAACAGACGGCCATCTAGCTAAGAAACAACAAAACCCACAAGGAAGAAGCCCACCAGCCTACCCTTTCCTGTTTTTTTTAATGGCCTTTTACTTTCATTGTGAAGGATGTTCTTGATGCTCCCAAAATTTACATTAACTGAATAATAAAATTTACATTAACTTTTCTTTTTAAATAGATAGAACACAATTATGAAATATTTTTAAAATAAAACATAAAATAAACAAAACCTTTTTTGATAATACAAAATTACCATATAAAATATAAAAATAATGAACTTCCACAACTCATCAGGTCTTCTGTCACTAGTGTTCAATTAATCAAATCTGTTCTTGAGATATTCTTGAAATTCAAATGGGATAGACTCAAGCTTGTATTTTGGCTCTAGTGGACTTGTTTTTAATTTTCTTCAGCTTTATTCTGCACCTGCATATGAACAATTGATGGTCTGTTTCACACTCAGCCCCTGGTTGGGTTTTAGCTGCTAATTTTAGCTTCTCCAACATCTCTTTCCACAGATAGTCAATTTTATTTCTGTGTATTCCATCTGGACAACTTCAACACCATTTTATGTTGTTGAAAAAAAGGTATTTACTATGAACAAGTCGTTGGTTTTGTAAAATTCTATAATACTATCTCCAGTTTCATTCCTATCACCAAGTCCATATTTGACAACTATTGTTCTTTCCTCTTTGTTTCCAACTTTTGCATTCCAACCTCCAATGCTTATCAATAAGATTGCATGTTTGATCAACTTCCAACTAAAGTTGTTGGTAGAATTCCTCAATTTCTTCATCATCAGCTTTTGTGATTAATGCATAGAATTAAATAATAGTTGTGTTGATTGAATTTCCTCAAAGACAGATAGATACAATGTTCTCATAGACAGCATTGTACTTTATGATTGATTTTGCAATGTCCTTTGTGACAATGAATGCCATGGATTAACTTGTGTGTTAGCTATCAATATCCTCACTTTAAAATGAGGGAACTAAGGTTTTAAAAAGAAGATTTTTTCCTCAAACTCAAACCTATGAGAACCAATGACATAGGTGCAAGGAGGTAATTCTTTTCTATTCTTAATATTTTTTTAAGTGTTCTGGTTTCTCATGAAAGTTGACCTGCTTTTCTCCTTTTGTTTACCCATTACAATAAACAAGATAGGCTACAGGTGCATTCTTGAGTACACACATATCCTCCTCCTTATTATTTGGAATACACCTCTATATTTATTACCCTTAAAATCTGCTTCAATTGCTTAAAAGAAATTATAATTTTTTCCTTCATTTTCCCAATGAGATGAAGTCTCTGATATTTTGCAAAGAGTAATATGGAGGAGATAGATTATGCTTATCTAGTCTTAACAAGAAAGAACTTGTGTGGGATTTATAAACACTTCCCTGACAAACAAGAAGAGAAAGAGTACTTCAATTACAGATGGATGATAGATAGATGGATAAACTGATATATAAATAGAGATTTCTGCACCTAATTAAATTTGCATGTAACTCTTTCTTAAAAGTTGTTATGATACATTAATTTTAACTCTGATTTGTGTGTGTGTGTGCCTGCTATGGGAACATTGTTACAACTACTGAAATTATGTCTAGAAATATTAGAGTGTTAAAGATACCACATATTTTTATTATAAAGTTGGGTCCAATCATTTTGAAAAGATAAACCAATACCAAAGAACCTATAGTTTAGCAAGAAGAAACCTCTGTATTCAAAAAAATTTCCAGAATTTTTTCTAAACATGATTATGCTATGTGTGCTCATTTCTAGGTGTTGGAAACATCTGAACATACCAAATCAAACAAATAATCTCTTGCCTTATCACTACCACCACACTTTACCACAAAAGAATGCCACTTTATGTGGATTCCCAGCAGGCTGAAAAGAGGAAAAAGCTGATTAGATATCAGACTGCCCACTGAATGGAATGACGGCCACAGCTTTGGCGGAGACACCAAAAATGAAGAGGAATGCCTCAAAGGAAGAGAAGCAGCAGCCTAACCAGGGCAGCACTAAACAAATCAAAGCTAATTCTGAAGCATGGACAAGCCCTGAGAGTGCTCTTGAACATATGATCCTTAAGAACAGTGACAGCAATGACAGCTGCCAATTTCCGGATGTTCCATTGAAAAAAAAGGAGATCTCTTCCAAACAACACCGCCAACTCTGTCGATCACCCTGCTTGGATCATCCAAGCTTCTCCCAGAGCAGCATTCTAAAGGATGGGAAGATTGATCTGGAAAAGGAATACCAAGCCAAGATGGACTTTGCTTTGAAATTGGGCTATAAAGAGGACCAGATTAAATCAGTTCTGAACAAACTGGGTCCAGAATCACTTATTAATGATGTATTAGCAGAGCTTGTCAGACTTGGGAACAAAGATGACTCCGAAGGACAGTCCAATTTGAGTCTATTATTGCCTCGTGGACCAAGCAGTGGAGAGATTGCATGTCCTGAACTATTTCTTGAAGATGAAATAGGCAACGGTGACAATTTGAGACCAGTTGTCATAGATGGAAGTAATGTGGCAATGAGGTAAGACTGTCATATTTTTTTCTTGAAAATACTTTCCTGAGGGAGAAAAAAAAGAGAGCTGGTACCGAGAGCTCAATAGAAAGTAAATGTCTAGAAGAGAATGAGGGCAACATATGCACAAACATGCCTGATTCAATTAATGTATGGATTGTGATAACAGTTGTATGAGTCCCCAATAAAATGATTTTTTATAAAAAAAGGAAAATACTTTCCTGAGCACATGAAATTGTGCCTCCTTGCAAAACTCTGTAAGATTCACTTGACTGTTATCTGGGACTTGTGCAGCTGTCCATCTACAGCGATCAAAATACTCCTACTTTTGCCTTATCTCTCTCCATTTATGTTCTTGCCAGAGTGTTTTCAGGTATTTTGAAAGCAGCTTTGATATCAGTAATGCTTCTAAGGTTAAAAGAAATAAAAGAAGGAGACAAAAGTGCCATGGTGATACAGTGGATTAAGCATTGGATGGCTATGTTAGAAGATTGGCTGCTTGAACCCACCGACCACTCCATAGGAAAAAGATGAAGCAATCAGCTTCCATAAAGATGTACAGTCTTATGGAGTAGTTCTACTGTGTACTACAGGGTCACTATAAGTCACAACCAACTTGATGGCTGTGGGTTTGGTTTTGGTTTCTAAGGTCACCTAACTATTCAGGTGTTGCCCCTCTTCACATTCCCTCTCCCATATTTACTTGGTTAGTCTAATCATCCTGAAATTCTGCATTTCATATCACTTGGGGTGTGTGTGGGGGTGTGTGTGCTTAAAATCTTGGCAATAACTCCCAATTACGATTCTGCCAAATTAATACACTTCTGCCTAACTTTAAGAGTCTTTGTGCTCCGACCTTTGCCCCCTTCCTATTTGATTATATTTCTCACACTCAATATATTTATGTCCTATGCCTTAAATTACATTGTTTATGTCATGTCCCATCCTATAAAACATGATGTTATCTTCATAGCCTTCAAGATATAGCAATTCCACGAAGATCTCCCTGATTTTTCTAATTTCAATAACACTGAGCTTCAGTATTCATTATACAGTAAGCTGAATAGTGCCCCCCCTTACTTCTACAGATGTTTACATCCTAATCCCCAGAACCTTACATGGTAAATGGGCATTGAAGATGTTATCAAGGTAAGAATTTTGAAATAACCCTGCTTAGCAATACCTTCAGTGCTTCGGCATATAGAAGCAAGCTTTGGAGAAAAGTACATATCAGAAAGTATAGCAGCTTCCCTGTGGCTCTGGAAGAAGGTCAATGTCAGGAGAGGACAACTCTAATTCCACATTTCTCTCCCAGCTTCATCATGGGTCTACTGAAGCTAAAGTAGGGAACTGGATTCTCTGATACTTTCAGGATAGTAGCTCTTGTTATTTAGGTGTGCAGTGTTAGTTAGGAATTTACTTATTATCAAGAGAAGATTTCTACATTTGTCACATAGGAAACTCCAGATACAGCCTCTCCTAAAGCTTAGAATAAAGAAATGAAACAATTAGGGAATAAAAGCAAAAGTGCATAAATAAATGCACACACATATGCTCTGATGGTGCTGTCAGGTAAGTGTTGGGAGTGATAACCACATCAGCCAAACCCATCAGCCATTCTGTGGAAGAGTGATCCATCTGCTCTTAGAAAGGTTTACAGCATATATATATATATATATATATATATATATATATATATTCTATATGAATTGGAATAGACTGGATGGCAATCAGGTTTTTTTGTATTTTTTTCATACACACACAAATGGGGCTTCAAAAAGTTTGTGGGAAAATCGAATTTTAAAAAGGGCACACTTATGTTTTTCTGTTTTTTGGTAAATGAAACCCAGAATTGATGAACCTCTGGGGATAATAAGTAGAACAAGGTTTTTTGGATGAGGGTGGGGGTGGGAAGGTTCCAGGTGGGGGTAGGTGGGTAAAGGGGAGACAATGTCAAGGAGTACAGAAAGAAAAAGTATGTTTAAAAGCTGATTATGGAAGCAAAGGTAAAATTCTGCTTGATGTGATTAAACTTTGGAATTACATTTGTATTAATTCCCAAGTAATAACAAATTAAACAAAAGAAAAAAAACATAGATCCAGGAATGGGTTTTAAGCTTACACTAAATCCTAGCTCCAACTTAAGAACAGTTAGTTCTTACATCATGGCCCTCCGTGATACTCACCCTCAGGAAGGGAACACAGAGAGGGGATGAGTGCTATAACAAACTGTGGTGAAGAAATTAGATGGTGCCTGGTTATTAGATAAAATGGCATCTGGAATCTTAAAGGCTTGTCTCCAAACAAGCATCCATCTAAGTGATATATCATCGAAGTCCACATGGAAGAAACACACCATCATCAGTCACCGAAGGATTTTGAATCATATAATATGAAGTTGAATGAGGGATTAGTATCAGAGACTAAAGTGTGAGAATATGGTTTGCAGAAGGCTCTGGATGACAGTGCGATCCCAAGATTCATTTGTGGAACTACACAGGAAATAAGCCTCTGGTGAACTCCTTCTATACACAATTGAAGGGTAGGAGGGAAGTGGTTACCAGAGTGCATTAGAGAGTTGTGTATAGAAAATCATAGGCATAAATCTGACTTGAACAGTTAAAACTTTGTCAATAGATCCCAACGAAAAACATGACACAATTCCAAGAGGGTGACCCCAATGACATAATACTTCTGAGATACACACTAATATGAACAAGCAAAAACCAAACCAAACAATATAAACAAAACATACAGAAAATTTCTGAAACCTTGCATACCCTAGGTTTTGCAAAATCCTATCATGCAATTTAAAACTTTGCTTCTATTATGAAGTCCATATTTTCCAACTATTGTTTCTTCCTTTTTGGTTCCAACTTTTGCATTCCAATTGCCAATAATTATCCATACATCTTGTTTGCATATTTGATTAATTTGATTAATTGCTGGTAGAATTCTTCAATTTCTTCATCACTAGGTTTTGTGGCTTGTGCATAAAATTGAATAATAGTTGTATTGATTGAATTTCCTTGAAGGTGGATATATATACCATCCTATCAGACAGCATTTTACTTAATGATTAATTTTGTATTGTCTTTTTTGACAATGAGTGTCACATCATTCCTCTTGATTGTGTTATTGCTGACATAATAGATCATATGCTTTTCTGATTCAAAATGGCCAGTCCAGTCCATTCCAGTTCACAAATGCCTAGGATATTGATATTTTTGTGTTCCATTTCATTTTTGACCACTTCCAATTTTCCTACTTTGCAAAGTTCCAAAATGAACTTAGCATATAAAAATATATGAAAAACAGAAATCACCACCACCACACACCCTAAAATGACAAGAATAAAATCATATCTATGGATATTTACACTGGCTATAAATGTAGTAAATGCAGCAGTCAAAAGGCAGAGAATGATAATGTATAAGAAAACAGGACCCATCAATATTACCAAGAGACACATCTCACAAGATCTAAATAAAACAAACGACAGTACTCAGTCTTAGAAGCTCATTTAAATAGTGCTGAGTGAACCACATGGTTTCTTGTTATGTCCTTATTAGCATCTCTTCCTTTGTCTTTTCTAACTTGATAATTTTCTGATGAGTTCCATTTATTCTGCATTCACATTTAACATAGCCAAACTTGAGAGCTCCAGTACTTTTTGTGAGTTTTTTCTTACTGTTGATATAATTTTGGTTTGTTTCCCCATTGGTTAACTTTTGCTTCATCAGGAGATTAGTATTTCCTATACAGGCTACATATTACTCCTCAATATGCTGGATGAGCTTGCCATGGAATCTTATTTGTCATTTATGATAATTGTTTAATTGCAGAAGTGGATAGCTTATGATTCACATGCATTTGTATGCTAAAATTCTAAAGGGTACATTTATCTCTGCTTGGGGTGGGAAAAACTTTTCACAAGAATTAACACTTGCAAATGCTACCATAATTTTAATATAGTCTGGGCAATCCCCTCTGACTATTGACCTGGGATGTGAATAACTTTGCTATCAGACAGAGTACATTGGAAAGTGGATTGATGCAGATGTAATTATGTTAAAATTTAATGCCATATCATTTGTTCTCTTTTTAAACTCATATTAAGCTTATGTAAGTATGTGGTGGAGTACATGAATTTTTTTTCAAATGTTTAACCATGCTTGTATCCCTAGTATGAATCCCACTTGGCATGATGTATTATTTTTGATATGTTGTTTGATTCTCTAGCCCAGGATTTTATTGAGAATTTCAGTTTGGTCTGTAGTTTTCTATCTTTGTGGGGTGTTTGCCTGGTTTTGATATCAGGGCTGTGCTGGCTTCATAGAACGAGTTTGGGAGTTTGCTGTCCCTTTCTATATTCTGTAAGAGTTTATGTTAAGTCCCTGATCCCAATTAACATATCCAAACTGTTCATGTCCTTTGCCACCTTTTGTCTGTAATGGCCATGGGAACGCATAATATCACAAGGGTCTGGTGCAGGTTACACCCAGGCTACCAGATACAACAAAAGAAGCACCCATATCCCCTGCCATAACCCTAAGAAACTATTGCTTCAGGCTTGCAGTATACTGTAGATTTTAGTAGTGATGATTTCAAAACTCTTTGTAATATATTTAATGTAACCCTCTTAAAACAAACAAACAAAAACAACCTTAGGTATATACATACAAAGTAATACTGTGCATCCTTAAGCAGCAATGAAACTCTGAAACACTTTATGACATGGAAACCTGCTGAGTGAAGTTAGTCAAGTCAGAAAAGGGTAAAGGGAACAGACATGCCTGGGAGAAGACAAGTGCATGTCTGTTGGTAGAAAAAGTGGGAGGACCAATTTCCACTGAATAAGGGCCACTCCACTGGAAAATGAAAAAGGAAATATTTTTGTACCTTTGGAGGAAGAATTTGTAAATTGCTTTTGGTAGTATGCTCTCCCGTTGAGATAGAAGAAGCAAAAATAAAATGTAAAACCCAAAGCTATCAGGATCATGTCTTTA